GTACAGCTTTAAGGTAACATGTAAGCTCTTATCATTTAAGATCTTTTAAGCTGTAGTAACAGATTTTAAAACAGGAGGACGATTGAAATTGAAGGAGGATCTAATTTTGGTACTAGACATCCTACCCAACGTATTTCGGCTCTACCTCATTCTAATCAAGAACAAAGATACAGAATGCAAGTGAATAATAAAATTATTAGTTACAATAATAAAAGTTACTAACTGTAAAAATTAATAATTGTAACTATCTAATTAAGGAGGTCGATAAGAGTGGAGAACATTTTTCCTAAAACCAATATTAAATTATTTGTGCCTTGCACACTTTAAAAGCTGGATTTCCTGTAAATAAGTTTCAATATATATATATTTTTAATTCATCCCGTTGACAAGTGGATCTAAATACTCTCAAGGATGTTAATTAAGAAGAATGCATGTTACTTATTACTTCATAGAAAAAGGACAACATTCATATAATTTATATTTTTTATGTAAATTATCTCATAATATAAAATCTCTCTCCTGTTGATAAATGGTGAACTTTCACTTCTATTTGATCCCGTTTACCCCTTCATCATTAAAATTATTACCTTATATCACAGTAACATATTGTGGTCTATGTTATCTTCAAATGGATAGGATCGTTTTGTTTTTCACAAATAAATAATGAGAATCCTTTGGGCAATGAAAGAGCTCCTTAATTTGCGCTGGCATCCATTGAAGAATCAATGAATACTTCCAATAAGATGCTGTAGAACGTGTTCTTTTACTATGTTAATATTTCTCTTTTACCAACTAAATGTACCTTACATTATTATTATTATTACAAGCCCTCCTCATTAAAATAATAGATATAAGAAAATGTTTATTACCAAAGCTTTGAACAAATTATTATTTTTAAGGTGAACACAATATTTATAAATGAAGCTATACATATACACTGACAGAAATTCTTGTACACTGGTCTTGCTCCTGTTTTTTATTTATTTACTTACCAATTGGAATAGTGCAGGTAATTGTTCAAGTATATGCAGACTAGAAAACCCATGTCCTTATTTAAATAGTGGTCAATATTCAATCACTAAGAAGCCCAATGCTGTAATATCTGAGGCATTAACATTGATGTCACTAGATTTGGATGAAATCAGTTATGTCATGGATAATAATTTTGCCTCTAAATGTTCATATGGTTTTAATTTTCTTTATAGCTTTGCATATTTGTGTACTAAATGTAAATTCCAGTGTCTAAAATAAAGTGTGATAAATAAAAAATCAAATGAGATTTGTATATATTGTGAGTTTTTTTCTTGATTGGAAGTACTTAAGTTGTAATTCTGGAACACCATTATCTACCTACAATTACTTAAAGAAATTGTAATTGTTCACCAATGTCATTTTTGGGGATGGAAGTGGCCTTTTTATTTACAATACATCTTGATTACATAATTTATAAATGTGTAGATCTGAATGTATCTGAACTTGTTTCTCAACAATAAGGTAAATTCCCAATTTTGAAAGTAAAAGCATTTATCAAAAAATTTTAATACTTGTCACAAAATTTTAATTCATAATTCAGGTCAGGTCATAAATATACTAGGTTACACCAAATATTTATATGATAGTTATTGAAAATAACATTCAAAAGTTTAATTTCACTCATAACACAAATTTTGGTCATAATGTTCACGTCTGATTAATCTTAAAATATAAAGAGTTCAAGAGGATATTATTTTCTGCATTTTAACCAATGATTGCATAGGATTATTTTATGGAAATTTTGATACCTAATTGGAGAGCACTCATTGAAATTTCTATCCATCACTTTTTAACATTTTCACAGAATATTTAGTTTACAATTCTTTCAAGTACACAGTATTCAAAATTGTCTGCAACAACAAATTTAGCATATCAATATCTATTTTAAAATATAAAAATCTATTTGAATTTCAGGAAAGAAATTTTACTTTTAGGATATCATATTAATCATAAAAGAAAAGATAAAACAAAGATCTTAGCCATTATGAAGTCAATTTATTTGGGTTCACGTACAGTGTCTTACATGCATTAATGCTTTGTCCTAGGAAAGATCTGTACAACAGATCAAATCAGGCTTTTGGCTAACGCCTCAAGAGAAACATCGGATTAATCTCTTGAGTTTCAACTTTTACTAATGTGGGATCGAGACAGTACTAATTTCTAATATTTATATTTATTATATAATATATATGTATATATCACACAATTGCACTGGGTCAAAACTTTGAAAATTTGAAAACCCAGTCAAAAAGAAAGAACTGAAGCTGTGCACATCAGCAAAGCTATCTCTAGGAACAAATAAATTACAACACAGTGCAGTGCAGTGCACCTGCAACATTGAGGAAAGTTTGAGTTTCGCTCTTGCCACAAAGAGATTAACAAGACAACAAGAAAAGATGACAGAAGAAAGACATCTCAGCAGCACATCATATCTAGTAGCTGACCGGTTGAAACTTTATTTGGATTTGGTGGGGGACATCATGGGCGATTTGTCCCTAATACAATACAAATAAGCACTTTATATCCAACCTGTTCATATAATTGAAGAATGACAAATTATTTTCATCTTTTGTTCAGTTAAAATATCTCCTTCCAGCTGTTGATATATAAATAAAATTATTTTCAGGCCAGATTATAAAATATCTTATGAATTGCACATTTAAATTCCATCATCAAATTCACTTTCAGTTCAGCGGTTTCAGCTCTCATACATTAGAAGTGAAAAGTATCAATTTACACCCATCCACAAACCCATGCGCACACACATCACACCAACAATTCATTCATATCAAATAATAGTAAGTAAAGAGAGCATGCAATGCAAAAGCTGTATACCATAAAGAGTGATTCACCCATAGATAACATAATTTGCCCAGATCAATGCAGGCATGTGAAAATTTGCACTTCTTGCATATCACTTATGTCATCTTTTATGACAAGAAAGTGATTAAGATTAACGTGATTTAGAATATAAGGAGAGTTCCTTAAGTTGCAAAAGCTTGTTTCCTCAGTTTCATAAAACAAGTTATAGCAGAACAATTAATTAGTTGTTTTTAAAAAAAAATTAGTTCTTTCAGTCTTTTTTCAAATTTTGTTTTCTCTCTTTTATACAGTTTTTATGTTCTGCACTTCATTAATTAATATTCAATTGTTTCTGCAGTTAAATTCCCAATATCACAAGCACTGGTACTCTGAAATCACAAGGGACTGTCTTTGTGTTTTACAATCATTACATTGTTTTAAGATTTTACTACATATGAAAACAAGAAGTTGTCCTGCAGACAATGTAAACAATATCTAAGATACTTCAACAAACTAAACAGTCACCATGTGGGCAAATGTTCACAAAAGCCACATCTTAATGAGCAAACTTTGTCCCCAAATTTCATTATACCAACAAATTCACTGAGAAAATATAATTGAGGTGTGATTCACAATACACAAAGTTCTTGTCAGGATTCTTCACAGAGTATATGAAGTTTACACCTGGAAGATTTCTTCAAGTTTCACATTTATAGCAGTATCACTATGACTCACTAAGAACACTAAATATTTTCCTGGTAACATTATTATATAAATACAAACATAAGCAATGTCGCATATTAACAGAACATTAAAGAACTCATTCTCTCTCTCTAAATTAACAATAATTAAATAATTTACACTTTCATTCTATAACACAACCCTGCATATTTATATGTAAGAAATCCAATCTTCACTGCAACACAAAAATCAAACCAGGGCAAGTGCAGTAAATTTTCACTTCTGAAATAGAAGTAGCTGCAGAATGAAATTGCAGTGAGGATAACAACAATACATGTAAAGTGTTGACTCCCATATAAGTTCATATTTCAAGGAGTTTCTTCCACAGAGAGATGGTTACATGACTGAATTGCAAGTTAACCATTTCATGTTCAAAGCCACTGCCCATCTATTAGAGATAAAATGAAACATCTTTATGAAAGTCCTTACAGAACAGGTAGAACACAATAAGGAAACTTCTCACAGGTAACACATACACTAAAGAAGTGATTATAATCAGTTTGAGTACACATGGTGAGGATTTTTATGACATAGGCAGGAAAATGGTCAGCACTTTTTATCTCCTCACTTTTACATAACATCTATATTCTCAAATGAAAAATGTCCTTTATGCATGCAAACACCCTAACTGATGTACAAGGGGGAACTTCATAGGCATTGTAACAATAGAAAGCACTATGAGTGAATCAGACCTTACATGGGTGGACGCATAATCAGTGGTAGTCTGGGGGGCAAGAGTGGCAAATGACTAGTGACAGGACCCAACAAGCAATAGCTACACAACATAATGCTACACAAAGTATTCAGTTATACAAGGGTCCTCTGTAAATTCCTCCAGTTGCTACTACTGCTGCATTGTTTTTCGGTTAGTTAAACCTGTTTCACAAATGTGAATTATTTGGATATTTCAAGGTGAATTCAAAGACAACCTAGCTCCCAATTGAAATTTAAATTAATGAATTTCAAGGCCTCTTTCAGTGACTGTATTTAAGGTCTTCATAAAACATTTTTGGTAGGCATGCAACTACTTGAAGCTCTCAGATACAGACAGGTCCTGCTCATACACAGAATTTGAAGGTTATTTATTCACCATCAATGCAAAAAAACATTTTTGAGGCCAGTCAGAACATATCAGTCCAATTCTTTTTACATTTCAAATTAAATTCTGCATTCAAATCTTATTGTACATCTCCAAAACAGAATTATTAATCAAGACCCTCAAAACTTAGTGCAACATGCACAATTTGTTTTGTCAACTTTCTCTTTACAATATATTAAAATACAGACAACTATGAAAAATTGGGATATGATATAGATTAAATCTTCAGATATTGTATTATTGAAATGCAAATAATTCAAGAAAAACATTAATGGTTTGTACTTTTAGATGAGAGCAATAAACTAAAATTTTTAGTATTTGCCTAAATTTCACCTGTTAATAATAGCCATGCAAATTATTTTAATATATTGAATTGCCAAATCAAAATTCAAGAATGATTACATTCTGCATTCTGTCATCTCTAGCCACTTAATTGAAATTCAAGAAAAGAAAATGATCTTTTCCCATAGACTAGCAGAAGAGGTCTTTCCACAAACAACTGCCAGCAGATAGTCTCGAGACATTGGCGGCAGCGGCAGCAGCAGTAGCAGTAGCAGTTCAGATGGGTGAGCTACAATCGAATGGCAGCTGAAGTGACAAGTGTCATGACAAAAAGGGCGGACCCATGGGCAGCGGATGCTGCTACCAGCGCCACTCACTCGTGGCAGAGTGAGCACTGTGACGACTGCTGAACACCTATGTGGGGCACAGCACTGCAACAGACACGCACAAGCACCTATGTCAAACAATGTCATCATTAAGGGATGGATTTTAATAAAATCATCATTTCTTTATTTCTTTCCACTTTAGAACAATGCCTTTTAGCATAGACATTCATTTTATATTATGACAAAAGGAAATGACCCATTTTTATAAGACGTTTTTCGTTTTTCATCGATTTCAACTAGTAAGTCATTTTGTACCTTTTTTTATCATTTTTACAGCTTTTTTGCCGATTTCATCAATGTTAATATCATAATTAATAATATATATTTTTCATGATACTTTAAATAATATTATAAGATGTAACACATTAGTTCTCCACAAAATTCCTGAGTAGCATATTCAATTTCTTTGCTAAGAAATTGTTAAAGGCAGCCATTGTATGTAATCTGAGATTCCTGTGATGTGTATCAGCATCATGGTCAATTCTGCCAATTTTAATGGCAGATTTAGCACTAAAAGCAGATTTACTGATAAAGAACTGTCCAAACCAAAAGTCTGTAAGCTGAGTTCACTTGAACAAAAGGAAGAAGCCTTGATTACATCAGTAACTTATCCAACATTAGGTTGTTTATCTGAAATGCTTTTGATCACATTTTTTACGCCATTCTTCTTTGCTTTCAGAGCTTTTAAAAAAAATTTTAAGAGCATTTTACTTTTTTTGTGGTGATGTTTTAGGTCATCAAAATCTGCCACTTAAAAATCACAAATTAATCCAGAAATAAGTGACGTAAAGTAGAAGTGTAAACATGAGCAGACTACAAGGGCGATGTAACAAAATCCCTTTTTAACCTTTGTGAGCAGCCTCCTAATACGGAGGTTCTCAACTGGTGGTTTGCAAAGAAGTTCCAAGTGTTCTGTGAGGAAAGTTATTTTCTTTTTATTACATCGGCTCTTTTTTCCAAATGATTTTACAACTAATTTTTATGAAGTTCTCTTTAAGGTTAAAGGCTAGCTGTCTACTCAAGAGTTGTTCTGAATGTAGTCCACAGGTAAATTGGAAGTGGAAAAATGGCTGGTGGCTGAAGCTCAGAAGGGAATCTCTGGTAAAACAAAGTAAATTAACACTAAGGCATACTTAAGAACATGTCTATTTGACCCAAGATTAAGAGCACATTTTTATAAATTCAGAATCATTAAGGACATAATGTGCAAATGCAGAAAAAATGAACATAATGTGGAGCACCTAATTTTAAATGTAGTAAGCCAAGATAAGAGAGAAAATTCTTTAAGAATGAAGAAAAATCAGCTTGCGAAAAGCAACCACCATCAAAGGAAAATATAGTTAAAAATTACAGAAAGCAATTTATCAATTTTGTGCACACAATTAACTTTTAGAAACTTTAACAGTTAACATCTAGAACTATGTCATAATGATCATCATCATCGTCGTCATCATCATCATCACAAACATCAATTATCATCAATCATTGTCATCAACACCCTTGGTTTAGGAACTGTGCTCCTGTCCTGTTAGATGGTAAGAAAGTAGTACTCCTTCATCAAGAGTTCCTACTGGTGCCATCATCTTGTCTGTCTGCCACAATCCTTTTTGCCATTCAGTGTCAATTTAATGCCATCCGTGGTAGACGTCATTTGTCTATTCGTTTCACGTGTTTTCCATTTCCTTTGGTAATTTTTTATTTCTACTGATAGTTTCCTGTTTTCAGTTGTTTCCTAATTGTTTCATTTCAAATTTTGTCCCTTTTGTTACTCCTAACTCTGCCCTTAGAAACTTCATCTGAGCTACTTCTATGCTTCTGGTTTCCTTTATTACCATTATCCACATTCTGAACCATATTTCTGTTTTGATGTAATATTATGGATTCTTATCATTGTTTCTTTTCTCATTTGTCCAAAATGTCTCTATTATTCCATAGTTTCTATTATATTTTTGTATTTTTTCCTTCTATATCCGTATGGTTCAATCCAATTAAATTTCAGAGGTATTGAAAAGTGGTAACTTGTTCAATTACTGAATTTTCTATTACTATTTTGGCTCTAAGTTGTTCTTTGTCAGAGAAAGCTATCTAGAACTATATAAATATTATAATATTGCAGTTGTACTTTAGTTTCTTTAAATTCCTTTTCTAAACTAGTTAAATTTAACAGAAGTGTGTAGTATGACAATATTTTTAATACAGCATTAAGTAAAAATAAATATCAATAAGGAATTTATTTTAAATTGTATTATCACTGTTTTAGAACATAGATTATGTTCTGTTGGCTTTATATTAATAATTCAAGCATATTACATATTTGCCATTTTCTTTAATTTATTTTATTAAAGATTTTTAATGATAGTATAGAGTGCAAAGTTATTACAAAGACATCATTCTCAATATTACTGGTTCTCAAGAAATGATATATTCACACAGGTCAAGAGGCAAATTCAGGGCAATTTAGAAAGAAAAAGAAAAAAGAAGAGAAAAGGAAAATATAGATAAAATAAGAATCATACTATAAATTAAAGCATTATTATTTCTAAAATAATTTCAAATTCATTTTTTGGTCATATTTTTTCATTATTCTGATTATTTTATTGCAGTAACAAAATCTCACTCAACCTTCAACTTAAAAGAAGCTTTCCATTCAATTTTTCATTTGACCCCCAAAAATTCTAGTTCAATTTTTCCCTTATTTAAAAAAATGTATTACAAAGTAAGTTACATGACAAGTGCACAAATCACCTTGCACAAGTTGTGAATACTATTATTTTAACATAAAATGTATGAAAGACTCTCTTTGCAATGTGTCATAGATGCTTCATAACAATTTATGCAAGTTTCATAAGGTTTCCTAAACTATTAGTTAGAAGGAAAAACGATTAGCTGATTTGCGTATGAAAAAAAGTACAAGGAACCGTACTTCATTTTCAGAGTGTTAAAAAAGATATATTCAAGCTACTCTTAGGCATACAAATATTGAAAAATCATTTATTCTTCTGGAAAATTCATTGTTCATCATAAATGAGGAATTTTCTGAGTCTCTGAGGTTCTGAGTTTTAAACATTTGTTTTAAGTCGCAAGTAAAAAGTATTATTTACAACAAAAGAATGATAAAATAACATTATAATATCATTATGCTCTTTCAAAGATTGTAAATCAAAATAATAGATACGATGATTGAATAGTAATAATTCCCTCAATAAAAATAATAATAAATAATAAATAAATAAATAAATAAATAAATAAATAAATAAATAAATAAATAAATAAATAAATATTTAATTATTATTCTCAACATTAAATTATTATAATTTCTCATTATTCTTGACTGCTAAAATCAATCATTGTGTTTACAGCAGTTTCATTATTGTAGTTGAAAGGTGCACGGAACCCAAATCACAATGAATGTAACCAAAATTGTGTAATAGAACAAAAAAATTAGTTCATAATATCCTTGTTTTGTTTCGTTTTTCATGAATGATTACAAAAAATTTGGCAACATGTTTATGATTCATGTTTCATCAGACAAATCTTTTAATCAAGAGATTGCAATTCTCAGTATGTTCTATTATGAAATCTCAATAAGGCAAAAATATTTAAAGCAGCATTTTGAATTGTGTATTTGCCTGAATCTTAAGGAGGCATTTCCTTCTCTAGGTTTTCTTTACATAACAGTTAGCAATTGGAACATATTAAGAATGTTAATATCATCATCATCAGCAGCAGCAGCAGCAACTTGAACAGCAGGATAGTAGGTCCAGTGCCTATTCCTGTTTAAATGAGCGTAGATCTGGTGATTATTCCTCCAGATGTTCCTGATTAATCCATATTTTGCTGGTTTCTATATTTCTTCGCCCTATGGGTTTATACATTAAAACTTCTTTAGGAAATCTTTCTGCATTCTTCACACATGACAAAAGACATCACCTCTGGTTCTTGTTAATGTCATTCATTATATTTTTTGCTTTGAATTTTTTTCGGATTTCAGAGTTTTTTCGTCAAACTAAATGTGTAATTCCTACCAGGTGCCAAAAAAATCTCATTTGTGCAGCTTCTAATCTCTGACAGTGTTTATTTTAGAGTCCATATTTCTGATCCATACATTAACATTGGCTTAGATGTTATGTTGTGTATTCTTAGTTTTGCCTCTGTTGTCATCTCTCTTCCAAAGTTTTTCTTTCATTATACCTTCACTTACCTTGCTATATTTTTGAATTTTTGTTTCTTGATCTTCTGAAGTTTGTCCAATGATATTTCCTAGGTACATACATTTTACTACTTGGTTTATTATTTTTCCATCTATAACAATTTCAACCATTTTAATTTCTTTGCCTTGGAATGACATAGCTTTAGCGTTATTTTTCAAGATTTTCATGTCATATGTTAGAGCTATGTTCTGAAGTTCATTTACAGCCCTCTGTAAGCCATTTTCTAATTCCACTGTTAGGATCATGTTTTCTGCATAGAGAAATGTTTGTATCTTTGTCTTCTTTTTTTTATTTATACTGTTTTTCCTCTTTTTGTTTCCACTTTTTATAATAAACTGCATATATGATAATAATGCATGGTGATAACCCACACCCCAGTTTTTGTTCTCTGGTTGTTCCGAAAGTCTCTGTATTTCTTCCATCATTCATTCTTACTTTAATCTGAGAATCTGTATAAAGACTCTGGATTCCTTTTATTAGGTCTGTGATATGTCTGCATCTTCCAGTATTTCCCACATTTGTTTCTGTTTACCCTGTCATAGACTTTCTCAAAGCCTATAAAGAGGAGGAAAGTTGGAAGATTCACTTAATTTAGTTTGTCCAGGATTGTCTGTTACCTTTACTTCCATATTACGAGATCAACAAAGATTCATTTCTTAGAGAATTGAACTACATAAATTGATGTCCATTTCACTTCACTGTGTATTCAGAGACTTGTGATGAAGATAACATGCAAAGAGGAAGTTTGAGATTGTATTGCTTAGAATCTTTCATTATTTGTGAATTTCTTTCCAACGAGAGTACTACAGTCAGCAGTCGGGAACAGTGAATAGCTGCATGTACTTTTGATTTTATTAGTAATCAGACAAAGGGAGGATGCTACAGGAAATGCATTCTCTGATTAAATAATATTTAAATTAATATAGAAGTAAAAAAGAGGGAGGAAATTTCTACTTTAAGAGGGTAGTTAAAAGTGATTGTGTTATTTGGCTGTGCAACTTTCTGTGACAGGGATCTGAATGTATTTTAGTATCATAGCCTGAATACAATTTATTAGTAATGTACAATGTATAAACATTGGCATAGAGATGTCAAAAATTTAACTATGGTAAGCATAAAATAAAATTAAATCATGGTTTGCATTTAAACAAAATATTTCTTCTTTTTAAATTCTCTTCTATTAATTCATGGCAATGTTCTATTTGACGCATACCAGCATCAAAAGTGTAGTGGAGAAACCTAGTCAGTCAGTCACAGTCAATCATTGCCTTTTATCTCTTTGGCCAAGGACTCGGAGCTGTTATGAGTACATCCCCAGGGTTCCGGGACTGCCACACATCCAGGGACCTGGGATGTCTCGAGTTGTTTTACCTAAGTGACTTCATTGTAAGTGTAGTCAAGCAATTCAGCTAGCAATGCCAACAATGAAACATATTCAATGTTAAGCGAAGCAAACAGGTATTTTCCCCATTACATTTAAAATTTCAGTTTAGAAACAAATAAAACCAATGGATTCTCTATATTTTTAATAAGTCTCGAAAAAAATCCATAATTTTTATTAAATAACTGTAAATCTTAATTAAGAAAATCTGGATGAGAGTCCTATACATTGCTTGTATTGCATTTAACTCTTTAGATCAGTTAATATTTCCCTATGCTCAAATGATAATTTGTCTTAGAATTTTCACCATCTTTTTATTCTAATTCTACTGAATACCCCTCTATTCAGAGTTGTTGTTTTTTCACCAGGATACACGTTTTCAGTGTTAATGGAAATACAAACATTAAATTTGCTGTATATGAATAGACCTTAAAAACCCTTGACATTACACTTTTTCATTGTAATATTTATAATAAGTCATTAGAATTAATTTTATAAGAAATTTTTCTTTCTGAATATAAAAATACATTATAGATATTCACTATATTCACATTAATATCAGTATTTAATAGTGTTAAAATTGTTTTTCTCTCATTTATAAATAATGAAAAATTGTACAAAATTTCAATTTTAAGACTTACTTTCTGCATTTATCAATTAATCACTTTTATAATAATTCAATTCAAAGTTTTAACATTATTTACTTTTTTAACAAGTTTTGTTCAAAACATTCTACAATTGCATTTAATAATTTAAATCTTGATAAAAATATCAAAAAATTGAAATAAGAAAAACAATAAATTGCAAAGTTTTGTGACTGAATATTTACTAAAATTAATTCAGTATGAGAGCAATTCATGAGGATGAATAATGATCTACATACAATTAGTGAATGCCACTGACCAAAAAGGCCTAAAAGTATTACCTACCTTTCAAGATGTAGTCTGTGAGTAAAGTTGGAACGGTTGGACTATCCTCATTAATTGCCTTCAGGACTGTAACAGTAAAACAAGTTTGTTTCTGAGTTCTCCAATATTGTATTAAAATGCTCAACAACAAACTGTACATTTATATCAAAGACATTTTTTTTTCATGGCATAGTTATAAACAGACCAGTTGATTAAAAGGATCAAGTTCAGATAAAAAAAGGAAATTACTTTAACCAATTATTTTATTAGCAAAGAGTTCCTTCAATAAATATGCTTATTAACATGATGTATTAACATGAGGAAGGAAAAAAGAACTGAACCTGAAAGATTCATTGTTATATACTGTTGTGTAAATTAAAAATAATAAGAACCTCATAAAAACACATTGACATTAAAATCTATTAAGAAACAAAAGGAAAGAATACACATTGATAGCACAAGATTTTAATCATTAAACAATTTTAGAAAATTTGTTTTTTTAAATTTTGACTGCTGGGTATTGCATTGTTAGTAACACAACAAAGTAAATCTACTTTCTAGATTTTACTCCAGCATTAAGAAAAGATCCAGAGAGATTTTTAATAGATTTTGTGTTCCAGATATAAAGATCAGAAATTCTGAATATCACATCATCATTTGTGGTAGAATTTTCTTTTTAAGAAATTATTTTATCATGATTTTTTGTTTAATAACATGAACTTCACTTCTATTCTCTGTTATATTATAAATAATTTATTCTATTTCTTTATCTTTTATAGAATTCTTTATAACTTTCTAAATAATTCGTGAAGATGAGCAAAGGTCATGGGATTAAAATTTATATCTCAAATCGAAACACCTTAATGCACTAGCTTTCTGTTGTGATCTCTGAAGTAGAAGAAAATAGACAAAGGTTGAAAGGTAAAACTCAATTTTCACGTAGCCCTATAGTTCACCACTTCCATGGCTCTGACACACCATTGCCATTTAGGATTTTGTGGCATTTGTTGCGAAAATTATTATTAAGAGCGGACTATTGAGAATACAAAAATGTTTTGATGCTTTTAAGATTTTCCCATTAAAATCAGGAATTAAGAGTAATTAATTTAATATTTCACCATTTGTATACACGGCCAATGTCAAATTAAATTGTTTCAAACATCGATTTGTTGTTATCAATGTTGTATGTCTTGTTAGAGAGTGAACAGAAAAGAAAACATAAAATATAATTTAGCAGCATTTTGCATAATTGAGATTTATCATTTTGCACTTTGTTCATAATTTTGCATTTTGCAATTTATTTTGCATTTTATTGCAGATTCAAAACCTTTAGAAACGCATCGCACCAACCATCAAACTTACAATTACTAATTTTTTCAGTGTTGGTAAAATTTTACATTTTTAGCAATTGCTAAAATCTACTAACTCTTTAAATAATCAATCAATCATGCAAACTAGCACAAGAAAAGGAAAAAGCAAAACTGGGACTTACTCTTGATGAGCACCTGAAGAGCCTGGTTATCTGGGGGTCCTGAGCCCAAATGGTATGGAATAACTGTAGTGAGGTACTGGAACACAAATTTTTTTTTGTTACAATCGTTTGTTTGAAGACTCTCCCACAAAGAAAGTTTCTAAGGCGGATGGTTAAGTGCCAAAGCTATTATTTGCTATTTATTAGGAAAATGTAGGATATTATTGAACACTTTTCAGTATTTTTGTACCAGTAGCAATTTTATCAGAGTACTAGGAATCTGATAAGGACATTGTTACTTGTAAAAGAATTTTACACCACAACACCATTTTTATATTACAATTTGCTATTCAATTATTTCCATTCTCTCCCTCTCTGTCCTCTCTCTGAAGATCCACAATAAAAGTATTGTTAAAAATACATATTATTGTCTTTGAATGCTCAGACTTGGTATATTAATATTTCACAACAATCTTCTCTGAACTCTCATCTCCTTTGAAGTTATAATTAAACTTAAGTTCTTTGAAGTACATCAAAATTTCTCTAGTCTGCCAACTTAATAACTAGAACTCTGTGTAACATGTATGTGCAAAGTTATGTTACATCATTTTCAACCCTGGTGAATATTTTTAAAAGTGCGCGAGGTCTACATACATTTTATACTATACAACATTCTGATGCAGGAGACCTATGAACAATTTATAATATACTATTTAATTTAAGAACATGAAAGAATGGTACCCCTGCCAGATGGTGGTAATTTTTGCAATGGACAGGTCAATCTCCAGTATAGGACCTGTAAAGAACATTTGTGAAGAGGATACGTTGGTGCACTAATATCTATCCAAATCATTCCAAACAAACTCAATGGGCTTCCTGTACATTTTTATTATTTGCAGGTATACAATTTAACAATCATATTGTTACTAAAATTAACCAATTTTGACAGAAGTGTTCCCTGTAATAGGTTTTGCATTGGAAGATTTAAGTGTGGTGACAGACCTCAGATGGGGCATGCATGGTTCAAGATACTAAAATTGTTGTTATGTCCTCCAAACTCTCATACATATTTATTCTGCCCGAAGAGCTTGCAATGGATGAAGATATTACAATCGAAGTTGTTAAGTGATTGAGTGAGCTGGATGTGCACAATCAATTAAATAGTTTCTAATATACTATTGCGTGTTTAAATCTCCTAATAATATTTTTATCTCTTATTTTAAATCTTATATTATCTACAAGATTATTAGCAGTTATGTGCCTCTTAAAACTTAAACCATTACTTTTACTATGCTTTGACTATCTTTTGTAGTAATTAAATTTTTTGTTCAAAGACTTGGTTGCCCCCAACCAGGACTTGAACCCAGGCCTTCTGGTTTGCGCCCAGTTGCTCTAACCACTAAGCTGCCGAGACAACCAATCCTTTGAACAGTTTTCAAGAGTGTGATTATCGCTCCTTTTATATGCTATATATAATTGTCACCATCCCGTCACCTTGTTGGACGGAGTATCTTTTGTAGTCTGCTTCAGGTTCTAGTACAAAACTATAAAAAATAGTTTAAATGTAGTAATCGAACGGTTTTAAATTTTAATAGATCATAATGTAATTACTAAAGAATCTGTCTGTAAGAATGTTGGTAGTAAAAGAAATATTATAAAATGGACTTTATTTTAATTATATTTTTTGGGGGCTAATTTTAATATTTTTAAATTCCACCCTTGCTAATATTTTCAATGTGCCATATATCAAATTAATAATTTTTTTTTTAATTTCAACACTTTTGAATTGTGTATGTGGAACGACTCTAATTTAAGGGAAAAAGAATATCTCTAGAAAGTTGTTTGAGCAAAATAAAATTACTAATTGAAATATGAAATTTTATAATATTTTTGAACATTTTTTTTTTACAGTGAAAGTAACGACCTAGAACTTAAATAAAGGAATATTGATTATTCTGCGATGGCATTAGGATAGCAGGGAATTCTGCAAGAGGGAGGAAATGAGAGCAGGAAGACCTGTCTCCTTATCATCCACAAAGAAGAAAGAATTTCCAAACAATTAATAAATAAGTACTGAAAATGCAATTGATTATTTACAAGTATTACTAACAACCCTGAATAATAATAATAATAATAATAATAATAATAATAATAATAATAATAATAATAATAATAATAAGTAGTAGTAGTTCAATAAACAACACAAAAATTTGATTTTTCCAAAAAGACACCCACCTCCCAAAAATTGTTATTTGTCTGGGTATTCATATCCACAATTTTGTTATTGGCAATTCATTGCAATATGATGCAAATATGATAACCATTGTAAGCACAATTCATGGGTGATTCAGTAAGGGAGTTAGTAATCAAGAATTCGAAGAGAAAAATAAAAACAAACAAGAACAATGAGAAACCAACAATGTAAGCTCATCTTAAGATATTTCTGCAGTATCAAACTATTACATTGAAATTCTTAAGAAATTAAAGCCTATTGCTGAATTTATGAAAGAGAGAGAGAGAGAGACAGAAGGTATCAGAGATATTTTAATTCATGATTGCTTCTTTCAGGACAACACTCAACGAAGCATAGTTTAGAGCATAAAAAAGTAATACAATCATCTCGCTGGATATTTACAAAATTTTTCTGGAATCAAGAATATGTTTCAAGAATATGTTCATGAATAAGCATAGATTGAAAATTCTATCCACTTTTTTTTTTAACAGAATAAGAAATCAGCATCCTAAACTGCAAAGGTTAAATTGTCATTGAAAAGAAATGATATGCAATTGAAAAGAAATGGTATGAAAATGAAATAATTAACCATAATAATGGAATTTTGCAACTAATAACTACGTAAATATAATATGATCTCAATGCTCAAAGTATAACATGGAACAGTAGGTCAAAAAGAGAAGGTAGTGCAGGAGTAGTACAGAAGTGTTTTGAAAGCAAAGTTTATCTTCTTCCACAAGCTTCATTTTATCTTGCTTAAAGAGAATCATCTGGCACTAAAAGGCAGTTTGTTTTTATAACCAATCAATCAAACTAATTTTAAAATTTTAATAATACGTAGTTGTAGTGCCTGATTTTCATACAATTTGTCAACACACATTTTCAACCATTATGTATTAACTTATGAGAAATAACGCTTAAGATCTCTGTTATAATATGATCATAGAAAAAAGGGTGCTTTTAAAATAATATGACTTACGAACCATAATGCACATATTTTGGCTTTATATTACACTCTTAAAACAGCATACAAAAATGACTGCTTTTCTCATCACAAAACATTTAAACAGAGGTTCTAATAGCTTTACTGGCAAGAGAATAATGTTCATGCTAAGGTGATACATCTTGAGCTGATTTTTCAGTCCAACAGATTCTTGCTTGAAGGCTATCTGTTCTCTCTTAATTGGCTGAAGAATAATATTTTGTTCAGAGAAAATGTATGTAAATTAAAACAATTAAACATACACGCAAAATTCTTTCAAAATGTGGGAATGTGGTATAACATATAATGCAAAAGGGATATAAACAAAGATATACCCCTTGCAATATTGTGTTCAAGCAATTAACATGCTTATTAAAATACTGAGGTATAATATTTCAGTTTGGGCAAGTATTTTATATTAATATAAACAGTTTATCAACAATATTCTTTATGCGCTAATATATAATATCTTTGTATATTTTGTTATAATGAACTTAAATAGTTCAGATCTATTTCATCTTCAAATGTTAAATTAACATTACAAATAAATTCCTGATGTGCATTTTAATGATGGTAGGGTCAAAAAAATTCAATCAGGGAAAAGTTTGTTTGAAAGTGGAGAAGAAAGGGCTTCAAATTAAATCAGTGATGTAAAAAAAAATATAATTTAAGTAGGAATAAACAATTTTAGGGGTTGGAGTAGTCAGGAGGTTGATGGTGCTAATGAAAAAATTACACACAAAATTACCCACCACATAGCAAGTTCATAGGCAAACAGTGATCATCTCTAACTCCTTATAAGCCCTAAAATTCTATTATATTTATTCCGAGACATTTTGTTTATTGCAGTCCCTGCTTTAACGCGTCACCACTACTCTCCACTATCGCAAAGATGCAAATCGATCTAGTATTGCAAAATGTATACAGAATGATACATCCTTCATACACCAGTAACACTGTGTCATTTTGCCATCAGTAAAGGGCCATTCACAATGCAAACGTAAACATAAGCATAGCACATAGACATACACATTAACATAAGCGATAGACTGAAGTATTCGTAATGCGTAAACGAAAATATAATAAACGTAAGCAAAAAAGTTTCCATTGGCTGCGAGAATCGATTTAAAGATATCGACTGTGTCTATGTCCCATATGGCGTTAGTTCTTCTATCGACTTCGCACCTATTTCGATTTTGAGATACCGTTCTGTGATTGATGCATTTCTTATGTTTTACGTAAGCATAAGCACAAGAGCTTGAAGCTTGCAAGCTTTTAAGTTAACTTCTTACGTGTTATGCTTATGCGAACGCATTGTGAATGAATCAGCTTATGGACGTAGTCCTAACTTTTATGTTAACGCCATACTTATGTTTATGTTTGCATTGTGAATGGGCCTTAACACCAATACATCATATAACACTGTGACCTTATCCCGTACGTAATTTACAGACTGAATTTGCTAAAATTAGATCTTTGCCGTTTAGTTTTATAAATAAATTATTTACGTTAAACTTTGGACTATGTGTTTGTGCTCGTGTAACACGGCTTCACCGAGCACAAGGCATATATCGCGTGAGATCAACGCATCACAGACCCTCGCGTGGCAAATTCACACGGAGAGATTACTTTTCCGTTTCCAGAGCGTGCAGCATTCACGCCGTAGATACTTAAGGCCCATTCACAATGCAAACATAAACATTAGCATGGTGTTAACATAAATGTTAGGACCACGTCCATAAGCGGACCCACTCACAATGCGTTCGCATAAGCACAAGACGTGAGACGTTAACTTAAAACGCTCGCAAGCGTCAGGCTTCTGTGTTTATGCTTAAGTAAGACATAAGAAATGAACCAATCAAAGAACGGTATCTCAAAATCGAGAAAAGAAATAGGAGCGAAGTCGATATAAGAACTAATGCCATATGGGCCATTGTCACAGTCGATACCTCGAAATCGATTCGCTTATACAACCAAAAGTAAAATAGGATGACGCACAGCCAATAGAAACTCTTATTTTGCTTACGCTTATGTTAACATTGTGAATACTTCAGTCACTCATCACTTATGCTAATGTTTACGTCTTTGCGTTATGCTTAGGTTTACGTTTGCATTGTGAATGGGTCTTTATACTGTACTCGTTCTCAGTTCTCTAGGCATTTCCTCGGCAAAAGAGTCGTTCAGTATCTTAATTTTATAATTCTGATACTCCCAACACTTTTGGAACTGGTGGTTAATAAACGACCGAGTTTGTGCTGCCGAAGTGGAGGGTCGTGATGACCTTCAGCGCATTGGAATCGTGGAGGCAGAAATAAAAGGACAACCCGGCAAAGTTGGGCGCGTGTCTATCTTGCCTTCGTGCGCTTCCTATTCGTGCGGCGCAGGTGTCCATCTTGCCTTCACGCAAGAGGTGGCCATTTTGAGTACTTTTACAGCCCCTGTTACACGAGGTGAAAATAAGATTTTTTAGCTGTATTCGCAAATATGATTAACTATCTTAAATAACACGTAAATAATAGTTTTTTCCCTTTACCTTCACATTTGTTAGATAAATACGAAATAATAGCAACAATGAACAATATTTAGGGTAATATTTGAGTTACTTTGATTACAAAATATGAGCAGTGACAAAATATTCCTTTTTTAAATTCTGAATACGATTTACACTATTTCATTTTTTACTCGTGAATAACTTGGGTCCTGCATGAGCAACGAGGAATAAATTACCCTTACAATTGGAAGTTACATAACTAACATTACATACATCCTTGTCAACAGGTTACCAGGATTTTTTAGTGGGAGTTTTACCAGGGAAGTTAGAGCGAGTTATCAAAGCTTCCAAGAGAGTTAATGTTTCTTTTTTTTAGCATTTCATTTTACTTCAACCTAATAAACCGAATCTCGTAATTAGATTCTGGATTATGAAGCTCAATGCAAAGACTGTGTACCTGAATCCTAAGTCTTAAATTCCAATAAAAATCTGTTTACCATAAAGTTTCATCAGTTTTTGCTTGAATCAGTACTTAACATCTGACAAAATACATCCATAAAAATATAATGTAATATGTACAAAATACGTGTGTTGTATTACATTGTTCTTTTTAATATCATGAACAGTCCTCTTTTTTGCACCAAATAACATTTCTTTAAGCACTTGTCCTCTCTTTTCATCGAAGAGGATTTTGTCACCGTTAATACGAGAAACACCTCGAGTTAGCACTGGTGAATGTGAATTTAAAAGAGCGCTGTTTCGCGGGGTCGCCGTGCAGCGCCTCTGGCGGTCGACGCGAGCAGTACCTTGGGGTCGAGGCCGTTGGGCGCGTGGCGCTGGCCGCGCCGCTTGCGCTCCACGTGGTGCTGGCGGCGGCGGTTCTGCACGGCCAGCAGCAGCGAGATAAAGGTGTTCTTCAGCTCCTTCTCGTACTCCAGCTCGTCGCGCAGCGCCAGCTCCGCGATCAGCGTCTCCGAGAAGTCGCGGATCAGCAGCTCCAGCTCCAGGTACAGCTCGTTGAGGCGCGACGCCGACAGCTGGCGCAGCTCTGCGCACACACGCAAGCACCTCGGTCACACCTCCCCTTCCCGTCCCACCCCTCCGTCCCTTCCATCCCATCCCATCCCATCCCTCCGTCCCATCCCATCCCATCCCTCCGTCCCATCCCAT